TGGCCTTACGGGCCTGCAGGGGCGGCGTGTTGGCCTACGGGTCTGCAGGGCGGTGCGCGCGTAGCTAGGGCAGCAGTAGGCAGCGCGAGGGCTGCAGGACGGCGCGCGCAGCGCAGCACGTCACAAGGCAAGGCAGGGGAAGGCGCGCGCAGGACAACACGTTGGGTAGCGCGGTAACCGCAACGGTAGGTGGGCCCGGAAGAAAAAAAAAGACGGTCCTAAGGACCTAGTGCTCTGAAACCATGTTAGAATCTAGTAGTAGGGATGAATTGACTAGATGAGGGTTTGGTACAAATATGAAACCCTAATGGGGCTGTACCCCATGTTGGCTACCCCACTACAGCCTGCATATAATTTGACACTGATTAGGGCCAAAAATTGGTTCTGGGCCACCCTGTCTGGTGTAAAAATTCTCATACTGCTAGAAACAGCCTAAAAAAAACTTGTGCGTCGATTATGACAGGGTATATTACCAGTTTTAATTTTACGTGTGCATTGTCTCGGTTGGTTAGATATATGACTAGGAATGTAAGATGTTCAAATTCCGGCGGAAGACTGTTACGAGTGCAATTGAGAGAGCGAGCGAGAATTGCACTATCGAAGCAAAATAATATAATCAGCGAAAGGAATGAGCGAAACTAAATAGCGAAGGCCACAGTGGTAACGGTAACGAACTGTGGTTGACACGTGACGGGCCTGTGACTGAGGTCGGGAAAGTGTCGAGGCGGAGGCCTAGAGCGCGGGTTACCAGCCGAGCCGGGAGGCCAAGTTGCGATGTGCGAGGTGGCGGGAAGATTGTCGAAGCGAGGGTCGCGAGTGGTAACGGCGCTGATTGTGGTGCTACAGTGATGTACGCGCTAAGCAGGGATGCGGCGTAAGGAAATGGGAATTTCCTTACACTATCCCCCCCCTTAAGGAGGCCCTCCTTACGAGAGTGCGTGTACGTCCCGGAAATTGCGGCTGCGGAGATAGTCGGTGAGGACGGGGTGGTTTTCATTCTTGTCCAGGGGAACCCAATTGTCTTCTGTTGGGGTGCGGTCTTTCCATCGAATCACGAACTCGATCCTACAGGCTCCACGTGGGTTACGAATGCGATGGCTCAAAATCTTCGGATGTGATTACTGGCTCGGTGGGTGGTCGTGTCATGCTGGCGGGTCGGTGGCGGGGCAGTTGGCTTGTGGATGGTACGTAAGGGCGGAGGAGGTTGACGTGGAAGGACGGGCTGGCGTACCAGTCTGCGGGGAGGTGGTGGTGGGCGGTAACGGGGGTGACCATGTGGCTAATGCGAAATGGCCCGCAATATCGGGGGCGGAGTTTCGGGATGATGGGGAGGTAGAGGTTTTGAGTGTCGAGTAAAACAAAGTCGTCGGGCTGGTAAGTGACGGGACGACGGTGGCGATCGGCGTTGCGTTTAGCGATTACGTTTTATTTTTTTATTACGTCTGCTCCTCGGGTCCGTGCTGCCTGTAAAATTTCGGCGAACTGCTGCGCACGTGGTACGGGGTTGTCGGGATTCGGGGTCATGGGTACTGTGGGGTCTTGTCCGTAGTTCAGGTAAAACACTGATTGTTGGGTCGTGGCGGATGGCGAGTTGTTGTACGCGAACTCGATGAGTGGCAGTTGCTATTCCCACGTGCCTGGATCGTCGCACGTGGCTCGGATAAGCTGCTCCATGGTCTAGTTTGTCCGTTCTGTCTGTCCGTCCATCTCGGGGTGGTACGAAGAACTGAACTGTAGTCGTGTGCCGAACTGCTGCCACAAGTTCCGCCAGAAGTTCCTAGTAAACTTCGTACCTCTGTTGCTAATGATTGCTGCTGGTATCCCGTGTTGTCGAACGACGGTGGCGATGAAGAGCCGAGCTGAGATGGTTTTCTTGCATGCTGCGAAATGTGCCATCTTTGTCAACCGATCGACGATGACCAGGATCGCGTCGTTTCCACTCGCCACGGCCGGTAACCCCTTGATGAAGTCCATTGTCACCTGCTGCCAAGCACGCTCTGGGGGTGGTATCAGCTGCAATTGCCCTACCGGCCGCTTTCGTTATGATTTCATGAGCTGGCAAGTGGGACACGATGCCACGTGTCGCTGTACGTCGGTCAACATTTCGGGCCAGTAGTAGTACCGCTGTAGCTGCAGCCGTATTTTCTCTACCCCGAAATGACCCGAGGTAACGCCGTCGTGTGCCTCTTGTAATAACAGCTCCCTTAGTAGAGTATACCCCGGTACCCAGATGCGGTCGGTGCCGGCTTTTACGTAATAAACTCCTTTTGCCGCTGCGAACTGCTGCGAATTGCCTCCTGTGAAGAATGGGTCGGTTTGATACCCGTGGGTAAATAGTCCTGTTAGTAGTGGGCTGGTCTGGGCGAGAAGTACGGCATGGATTTGGGCAGTGGGGCGGGTCAGTGCGTCGGCGATGTTGGATGCTCCCTTTTTGTAGGTGACCGTGTAGTGAAAATTTGACTCGATTAAATCGAGCCAGCGAATTTGTCGGGGTTGAGATTTGGCCGTGCGCGGAGATACTGTAGTGATCTGTCCCTACTGTCACGTCGGCTCCAGTCAGGTAACATCGCCAGACTTTGAAAGCGTGCACGATCGCAAGCATTTCGCAGTCATGTATGGGGTACTTCTTCTCGGGCGGGTGCAGCTTCCGTGATTTGTACGCGATGGGCTGGAGGCTGTTGCCGAAATCCTGTAACAGTACTGCTCCGATGGCGATTTCGTTTGCGGCCGTAATGACTTCGAAAGGGCGGTGGGGGTCGGCAATGCGCAGGACGGGTGGTGTACAGAGAACATTTTTCAGGGTAGAGAAGGCAGCATGCTCTTTCTCCCCCCACGTAAACTCTACCCCCTTTTGCAGTAGGTCAGTCAGCGGGGCAGTCAGCTGCGCCATGTCGGGGACGAACCGACGGACATAATCAACGAACCCTAAAAAACTCGGTACTTCTGTGAGGTTCGTCGGGGGGCGCCACGCTTTTACCGTGTCCAGCTTCTTTGGGTCAATTTCGACCCCAGCCTCCGAAATCACGTGCCCCAGAGATTCTAACCGGTCCTGAAAAAACTCACACTTTGATCCCTTGGCGATTCTCGTCTAAAATTTTAAGCACTGCTTCTAAGTCTGTTAAGTGCTGCTGCTTATCCCGGCTGTAAACTAGGATGTCGTCGAGGTACACTATCACGCACTTATCTAATAGACGTCTAAAAGCCTCGTTAATGGTCATCTGAAATGTCGCGGGGGCGTTGGTCAGTCCGAAAGGCATGATAGTGTACTCGAAAGATCCGTATCTAGTGTGAAAAGCTGTCTTGGCGCAGTCCAATGGTTCGACCCTAATTTGATGGTAACCCCCTGTAAGTCAATCTTCTTATATACTCGGGCTATTCGTAGTTGGTCTATCAGTTCGTCAGCGTGGGGAATTGGGTATCGCGATTTGATGGTTACTCGGTTCAGTGCTCGGTACACATGCGAAAGCCTCCGTCTTTTTTCGGTGTGAATAGTATCGGTGCGGCGAACGGTGACGAACTCGGTCGGATGAATTGCTTCTCTAACAGGTAATCTAACTGCTTCCTGAGCTAGTCAAGCTCCGGCTGTGTCAGTCTGAACTGTCACTGTACAGTTGGCTGTGCTCCTGGTTCTAACTCTATTTTGTGGTCGTGTGCGCTCTGAGGTGGCAGTCCTTCCGATAAATCATCTCGGAAAATCCCCGGGTACCGTTTCAACAGTTCCTGTAGTTTGGGCGGTTCAGCTGCTAGAAGTTTCTGAAAATCACTCGGCGCCTCTGCTTCTCCCACTACTGCTATATCCACTGCGTACACGTCAGCTCTAGCGGTGATAGCCCGTTTCATCGTAATGGCGTTGACGTGGACCGTTCAAGACTCGAGCGACTGCCAGCGAGGTAATTCGACCCAGTTACCACTGTTTCGCACAGTGCAGGTACCCGTCGTCTAGTCAACTCGCGGGTTGTATCATCGCAGCCAATCACGTCCCAGTAAAATGTCGTGCCCATCCAGTGTCGTCGCGAGCATTTCCTGTGTAAACCCGAAGTTCCCCCCACAACGGACTTTTACTCTCTCCCGTATGGCCAGAGAGGCGTGCCGTCGACTAAGCGTACGTCTATCTCCGGTAAGCAGCGGCTAAGCGTCAGTTGGAGTTTTCGAGCGGTCGCGGTATTAACTAAGCTGTGACTTGCTCCTCCGTCGATACAAATCTGGACTGCTGTCCCCTGTATTTTCCCGTAATGGATTACTGGGCAATCCGTCGCTGTGCCCTCCTTACTCAGCCGAGCCCGATCGATAACATGAATCGGTACTGTGTAGGGATGAGCATATTGGCGAACACCCGTTCGGTTCGTCTCGAACATGTTCGAGACGAACCGAACGGGATTTTTTTTTGGCCAAAAGTGTTCGTTACGAACATGTTCGACGTTCGCGCGAACATGTTCGCTGTTCGCGCGCCACGATGGGCCGAGGCGCGTCGAACACGAACATGTTTGTGTTCGAAACGCACGTCGACGAACACCTAAAGTGTTCTTCGACGAAATTGCCGCGACCAATTTTAGGGACTCGGCCATACCAATTGCGGCTCTTTTTTTTTAGCATGTCGACCATTGCGCTCCTAACAGCCCGCCCACCCCACAACCACCTACCACACCTACACCTTCTAGGACTAGCATAGGCCCTCAAGTCGTTGAAGTATGGCGTTTTGGCATTATAGTGACGTAATAGTTCAATACTAAGGACGTAGCATATACTCCATAGTACCAGATTAGTATCTAGCATCACATTAGGGTTTGCACTACCGTTGAACTAGTCTTCTCTCCACCGTTAGCTTTAAGATCATAGTGACAATCTCCTTCATAAACATTGCAGCAGGCCGCATTACAGTTGTAGCTAGGGTTTAGGTTTCTGCGGCGGTGGCGGAAATGTCCTCCCCTAAACAAGTTAGTACAGGGCGGGCCGGACGCGGCGGTAGTCAGGCCGGCGTGCCCTCGTCTGCACCACGACCAATGAAGGCTCGACCTGGTGACGGCCCGGGAGGAGTTGGTGCGAGTTTCGTCGGTGGGCTTCTGGCCATGCTCGTGCCGTCATCCCGGGTGTCGTACCGTTACAGTGGTCAACGGCCCCGTCCTTCTGAGCAGACGCGCAACACCACTCAGACCGACAGTGCGGCGGCGGAGGAGGAGGAGGAGGACGAGGAGGAGGGGGAGGAGGGGGAGGGGGAGGAGGAGGACGCGGAGGGTAGCGGTGACGATAGTGAGCCGGGGTGGACACCCGAGACTCATGGCGGTGGTGGTGCGGACGGGGGAGGAGATGAGGATGAGGAGATGGAAGGGTTGGAGCCAGAGGGGGTAGAGGAGGGGGTTGGTGAGGGAGGAGGGGTTGCCGCGGCTACCGCAGAGGAGGCATCTCAGCACGTGGGCGGAGGACGGCCGCGCGGAGGTGTTAAGGTTGGGCGAAAGAGGCTGTTGATTGGGACCAGGAAGAAGAAAGCCGAGAAGGAGAGGACACGGGCGTATCCTTGCACCTTCAGAGGGGTGGATCTGGGCGAGGGTGTGGTTGCTCCAGAGTTCCTCGACGATGATGGACAGCCCGAGAGTAGCCTGGGGAGTGGCAAGGGGGGGCGGAGGAAGCGGGGGTGGCAAGTACATATGTTTGGGCCCAAGGGGACAGATGACAAGCGGCAATGCAAGATTTGTACCGATCGCATTTCTTGGCGGGGATCTACAACCACTCCAGGCGAGCGCCACTTCGAGAGCTTCCACACTGCTCACATGGATGTGTGGTATCATCGTTACCACAACCCACATCTGCAACTGCCGGGCGAGACGTTCCCGAGGGGGGGCTATGTGGGAGTGCCGGACGGCTACGTATACTATTGGCCGCATGCAGAAAAGTGGCCAAACATCCCAAAGAAGGGTGGGAGGGCGGAGGGGCGAGGGGCTGAGGGGTCTGGCGTCGCTGGGATCAGGACCTACATGTCGACCGCTACCTTGAGCTGCAGCATCCGATCACAGTGTTTCTGGCCTCGACTCAGGTATGTGGTGAGATCGGATCGGGACAAATGGCATGTGTGTGGCATGTGTGCGGCATATGTATGGCATGTGTGCGGCATGTGTTAGGCATGTGTGAGGCATGGGTTAGGCATGTGTGTGGCATGTGTGTGGCATGTGTGAGGCATGTGTATGGCATGTGTGCGGCATGTGTTAGGCATGCGTGCGGCATGTGTTAGGCATGCGTGTCGCATGTGTGTGGCATGTGTGAGGCATGTGTACGGCATGTGTGCGGCATGTGTTAGGCATGTGTGCGGCATGTGTTAGGCATGCGTGTGGCATGTGTGTGGCATGTGTGATGCATGTGTATGGCATGTGTGCGGCATATGTGTGGCATGTGTGAGGCATGTGTGTGGCTTGTATGCGGCATGTGTTAGGCATGTGTGCGACATGTGTTTCGCATGTGTGCGACATGTGTGGCATGTGATTTGTGTGTTGTGCAATTGGTTTCGTGATGTGCGAGACATGTTTATAACAACCATGCTCCTCTTATGCCCCGGCCCACCACGCCCTACCCGAAGCAGGGCCTGTCGAAGACGGACAAGGATAAGGTCGAGAAAATGCGCCTGTCTGAAGAGCAGTGGGACATGTTGAAGGAGCTAAGAACATTTCTCAGCCCCTTCAACAAGGTCTCCAAGGCAGCCGAGGGGACGGCGTACCTGACGCTGTCGATGGTGGTGCCGTACTACAACGGCCTCATCGACGCCATGGAGGCCCGATTGGCAAAGGGGCCCTCTGCGCTGCTGAAGCCGCTGGTCGAGAAGGCTCTGCGAATCCTGAAAGTATGAGTACATCAGCAGCAACGAGGGCTGGATCGCCACCTTCCTGGATCCTTCCATGAAGGCGGCGTGGTTCGACGACCCCCACTGGGAGACACAGTATCCACAGACGTCGCGGAGGGAGAGGCCGCGCCCGCCATCGAGCGTGGTGATCACGTTGGTACGCGATCGGGTGGCCGAATACTAGGCAGCGGCGAGGGAGCTGGCTCCTAGGCCCACCACACTTCCCACGGTGGTCGAGGAGGAGGAGGGAGAGCAGGGGGGGGAGGACGAGGACAACCTCTATCCCCCTAGTCGCCGACGCCTTGCGGCGCGTCTGTCTGCGAGCCAGGCGGCCGGGGGGGGTGGTCTTGTGCAGGACGACGAGGTCAGCAGGTACTTGTCGGAGAGGGTGCGGTACGACGTCTCTGCGCTAGACTACTGGCGCACTTCCACAAACATAGAGGCGCTGAAGCGGATGGCGAGGGACTATCTCGCCATCCCTGCCACGTCTGCTACGAGCGAGCGGGTGTTCTCATTGGGCCGCAACCTCATTTCGTGGAAGGGTCACCGCCTGAACACCGAGAGGTCGCGAGCCTGCATGATTCTCCGCTCCTGGTATGGATCGCACCCTGGACAGAGGATCGGCGAGGGCCGCCGCCCGAAGGGGGCCGCAGCACTAGAGATTGCTATTGAGGGTGAGGGTGTGGAGGAGGAGGAGGAGGAGGAGGAGGAGGAGGAGGAGGAGGAGGAGGAGGAGGAGGAGTAGCAAGAGCAAGAGGAGGAGGAGGAGGAGGAGGAGGAGGAGGAGGAGGAGGAGGAGGAGGAGGAGGAGGAGGAGTTGGGGGATGAGGTGGAGGTGGAGAAGGCGCCTGAGGTGGAAGTGGCGGAGGAGGCGGGTGAGGGGAGAGGGGTGGACGCTGCAGCGGGTAGAGGAGAGGGTGTTGTTGGTAGCGAGGGTGGGTCAGGGATGTAGTTGTGGGTTAGTGGGCGCTCGAGCGGCGCGTTGGTGACGTTGGGATGTTGAGTTTGTGTTGGGTAGACTTCGAATGTGGACATGTTCTCTGCTACTAGTTGGCCATGCTTATATAAGTAATTACAGTCACTGAGAACACTCTATAATCCCATATACAATGATGCATTGGCATTGGCAGTGTTTAAATCTAGAGTCTTGTAGTGCCCCCCCCTCTAGGGCGAACACGTTTTGGACGAACGTGTTCGTGTTCGCCAAAACTTAAGAAATGTTCGCCTGTATTGGCGAACTTCGAACACCCTTTCTACTGGAAAGTGTTCGGCGAACCAAACAGTGTTCGGTTCGCCGAACGGCTATGTTCGACCCCAGGCGAACACGAACATGTTCGTGTTCGACATATGCTCATCCCTAGTACTGTGGCTCGGTGAGGGTCGGTGAGGTTGGTCGAGCAGGTAATCTCGTCATTAGTTGGCCCGTTCTCTACTGACTGCTGGCGTTTCCCTGCCTCTAATATTCCTTTTCCTGCTCTGCTCCACGGCGCCTTAGCTCTTCTGGACACTCACTCTTGCGGTTGCCCGGCCTGTTGCAAGCAAAGCAGCGCCCCTTAAACGGTCCGGCAGCTGCATTCATCGCAACGGCATGTACAGTGGCGTGCTCGGTCGGTCCCCGAGGGCGATGTCCGTAGTAGGACCCCGGTCTCGGTCGGCGCAATATATAAATTTTCTCGGCGAGCGCGAGAATCTTGTTGAAGTTCGAAAGTCCGCGTAGCATGATTTCGTGCTAGATGTCCGGCTTCAGCCCACCGACGTAACGGTCCACCCGCTCCGCTTCGTGCATGTAGCCGACTTGTTCGCATAGTGCGAGAAAACAGCTCGTATCGTCTTGAACCGACCCGAGCTGTCTCCAAGTGCGTAGTTTCTGAAGCACCAAGATTGAAGCTGCGATCGACTCGAAACGCGCCCGAAGCCCTACGCACCACGCGTCCCACGTGCTGTACTGGGCAGTTTCGCAGAAAGAACACCAGCTAACGGCCGGCCCCGTGGGCTCTTCCTCTTGCGACGGCGGCTCGTAGGCGTGCGGCGAGGTGACGATCACTCGCCATCAGTCCATGGCAGGGCCCCGTAGTAGCGAAACTGCATATCGAATCTTCGATGCGCCTACGACGACGTAATTCGCGTCTAAGAACACGTTCATCGTGAAAATCCACAATTGAACCGTCGGGCTCCCGCGTTGGCTAGGATCGAAACAGGGCGATCGTTGCGGCTTGAGCGGCATCGGCTCGTAAATGTCGTCAGTGCCTGCCGGTGCCGCAAATTTGACGTGGCGATGCGTTTCGGGCAGCAGATTCACGGTCAGAGCGGCCCTGGTCCTCGTCATGTCGGGCATTGACTGGGCTGCGCCATCACTGGCTACGCATGAGCGTTGTCCCACGCTGTCGTGTTGTGACGGTGTTCCGAACGAGATGACGATTGGCTCGTCCGACTGTGTAGGTACATTTGCAGGTGTTGTTGTTGGTGCAGGTGCGTTCGTCGCCGACTGCCGGCGGGCGGCGTTGAGCTCAGCCGTGAGCGTCTCAACTTCGAGAGCGGAATTTTCGAGCTGGCTCACAAGGCGATCGAGCTGCTCCTACGTCAATCTTGCGAGGTTAAATTCAGCCATGTCAGAACCATATTGTAGGCTGTAGTGGGGCACTCCTTATGGGGTACAATATTGTTAGGTTTTGCCTATACAAACCTTGTACTGCCCTATTTCTAGTTATTCCTCATTCTTATTCTCACATGGTATCAGAGCAAAATCGTTCCTAGGGCCCACCGAACGTTCCGCCCTGCCCAAACTGATTTTTTTTTTAGCTGCCCCTGCAGCCGCGCTACCCTTGCAGCCCGCGTGCTGCCTCTGCAACCGTGCTGCCCCTGCAGCCATGCCTGCCCCTGCTGCCCGTGGGCGCTGCCTCTGCAGCTGTACCTGCCCCTGCAGCCTGTGGGCGCTGCCTCTGTAGCCGTACCTGCCCTTGCAGCCCGTGGGCGCTGCCCCTGCAGCCGTGCCTGCCCCTGCAGCCTGTGGGAGCTGCCTCTGCAGCCCGCGCACCGCCCTCCCGAGCCGCGCTTAGCCCCTGCAGCCCGTGAGCGCTGCCCCTGCGACCCGCGCGCCGCCCTGCCGAACCGCGTGTCGCTCCTGCTCGTCGCGACGCCCCTGCGGGACCCGTGCGGCGTCCCCCCCCCTGCTCGTCGCGGCGCCCCCTGGACGCCGCCCCTACTCGTCGCGGCGCCCTCGGGGCGTCGCCCTTACTCGTCACGGCACCCACTGGGCGCCGTCTCTGCTCGTCGCGGCGCCCCCTGGGCGCCGTCCCCCCGCCCTGCAGCAGCTGCCGCGGAGCCCCCTTCCGCAGTCATGGCCCCGCCCTGTAGCAGCTGCCGCGGAGCCCCCTGCCGCAATCGTGGCCCCGCCCCACAGCAGCTGCCGCGGAGCCCCCACCCTGCCCCCGTCACGGCCCTGCCCTGCCGCTGTCGCGGCCCCGCCCTGTAGCTGACGCGGCCCCGCCGTCGCCGCCGTCGGCCCTTCCCGCCACTGGTGAGAAAATGCCCTACCCGCGCTTCCCGCGTCCCTGCCTTACTAGCGCGCTGCCGCGCCGGCCTGCCTGCCTGCCTACCGCGCCTGCCTCCCAGCCGAGCCGCGCCGCCCAACTGAGCCATGCCGCCCAGCTGAGCCGCACTGCTCAGCCGCGCCGAGCCGCCCCGTCGAGCCGCGTCGTGCTGCCGAGCTGTGCAGCCCTGCTCTACTGAGCCGCACTGCCTTGCCCGCAGTGCTACTACTACTACTACTGCTGCTGCTGCAACTCGTGGTGGCCAGATGCAGCTCCAGCGACGTCCGCGTGAGTCCCTCACGCCCCAGCAACTTCGTGAGTGGTACACTAGTTGGGGTTGTCGGGGTGGCCGTGGTGGGAGTCGCCCTGGAGCGGGTCGTTCGGGAGCTTCTTGTAGTGGCCAGGTGCACCTGCAGCGGCGTCCGCGCGAGATCCTTTCGCCCCAGCAGCTTCGTGAGTGGTACACTAGTTGGGGTTGTACGGGTGGCCGTGGTGGGAGTCGCCCTAGCGCGGGTCGTTCGGGAGCTTCTTGTAGTGACCAGGTGCAGCTGATACGGCGTCCGCGCGCGACCCTTTCGCCCCAGCAGCTTCGTGAGTGGTACGCTCAGAGTAGAGGGCCACGGATTATTGCTCGCTGCTCGTGCGTCATACGCTCTGGTGCTCGGGCTGGTCAGCCTTGCGTGACGGTTGGTCACACAGAGTCCCGCTGCTTCTCCTCTCTGAGCGACGCCTGGCGTACAGAGTTTGGCGATGACGCTGAGCTCCCCTCCTGGCTGGAGCTGCTTAGGCGGAGGGTAGATATCTTTGCTCTTGACTATGATGCTATCCTCACTGCCATGTATGCATTGCCTACTAGTGCTGAGGGTGCCTGTTACCTGTGTGTGCGGCCTGACCCAGGTATAGAGTCTGCTGCTCTAGGTGCTGGTAAGGCTGCTGCTCTAGGTGCTGGTGCGTCTCCTGCTCCAGGTGCTGGTGAGGCTGCTGCTCTAGGCGCTAGTGAGTCCACTATTCCAGGTGCTGGTGCGTCTGCTCTTTCTGGTACTGCGCCTGCTGCGGCCTTGCACACTTTCACCCTTGACTCGGGTGCTTCCCGCTCCTTTTGCGACTGCACCACACTCTCGCCGCTCAGTCGGCCAGTGGCAGTCTCTCTGGCTGACCCCTCTGGGGTCCGGTCCTTGCACACTCCTCCACGGTTCTGCCGTGTCCGGCGATCCCGTCTGTCTCTCTGTCTGGCCTCCACCTCCCCTCGTTCTCCACGAACTTGGTGAGTGGAGCTGACCTTCAGGACGCGTGGGTTGACCAGTTCACTCCTGGAGGTCAGCGGGTGACCCACTGTTCGTGTACTCGGACGGGCCGGCACCTGGCCACGTTCACGCGCCAGCCTGGGTCGAGCCTGCACACCCTGACTACCGTGTCTCCTCCGGTTGCTTAGTCTGGTCAGGTAGCCGCGTCGGGTCAGGTGTTTGCTGCAGCGTCCCGGTCTGGTCTTGAGTCTGCCCCCTGCTCGTATCGCCTCCTGTCTCACCAGACTCTCCTCTGGCACCACCGCCTTGGTCACCCCTCCCTGCCTCGTCTCCCGTGTCCTTGTCACTGGTCTTCCCCGGTCTCTCCCTCCCCTCCCCCCGGGGACTGCCCCTACCTGCATTCCTTGCGTCGAGGGGCGGCAGCGTGCCGCTCCTCACTCCTCCGAGTTCCCTCCGACCGAGGCTCCCTTGCAGACTCTTCACATGGACGTGTGGGGCCCAGCCCGCGTCCGTGGACAGGGTCACGAGCGCTACTTTCTGCTGGTCGTTGACGACTACTCGCGTTACACCATAGTCTTCCCCTTGCACCGCAAGGGTGAGGTCATTGAGGTGCTGATCGACTTGATCCGCGCAGCCCGTCGCCAGCTCAGTGAGAGTTTCGGCTCGGGCCTTTCTGTTCTGCGTCTGCACTCTGACAGAGGTGGAGAGTTTTCCTCCGACCTTCTGCGAGCCTTCTGTCGTGCGGAGGGCATCCGCCAGACGTTCACGCTTCCGGCCTCTCCACAGCAAAATGGGATTGCTGAGCGCCGCATTGGCATGGTCATGGACGTCGCTCGTACGTCCATGATCCATGCGGCTGCTTCCCATTTTCTGTGGCCGTTCGCGGTTCAGTACGCGGCGCATCAGATCAACCTCCAGCCCCGGGTCTCCATCCCGGAGACCACACCTACTCTGTGGTGGACGAGGAAGGT